TTTTTGGGGGGGGGGGGGGGGGGGGGGGTCGGCTGTTGGCACGACCACGTGTCACCACTCGGAAAAAAGTCCCTGTATTCTCAATGTTTACCAGATACACGGTATTTTTTCGTACCACGTGTGTTCGAGAATATATAGCCCGTTAGCGATAATAACGATCTCAGGCATCCCTACCGAAGAATCGTGACCAGTCTGCAGCACGTGAAAAGTGTAATAGTATTTTTTTTTTCTTTTTCTCTCTATCTAATTCGAACACGGTACGTCTCACTCTCTCTCTCTCCCATGTGCGCTGTCTATCTATATTTGGTACTCGCCGTCGCGCTAAATCCCCTAGAAAAATATCATTTCCCATTGGCAGCGAGCATTTGTTACGGCACAAAAATGCGATTGAAATATAAAGTTTTCCCCTCGGGAGATTACATTTCGCATTCATGGAATTCCATCGACGGACGTAAATCAACGCTCTTGAGTCTCGTGACGTTTGCGTGTACCAACGGTAGGGCATTTTACTCATTTTTTTTTTTCTGTTGATTATTATCGTCCCTGCTTTATCTAATGTGCTTACTTTGTCCCTTTATCAACTTACACGGCATTGCTAAACGTTATATAAATTCCATCGTAAATTCTTTAACTCGACCTACGTGACTCTCAACAATTACTGTACCACCTCTCTCGTGCATATCCATATACGACATACATACACGTGCTCGACTTCTGTAACTTTCGTATATGCATTCACGTGAGATTCAGGACCGGTCACTGTCGCCAGTACAATTCACTTCTATCCTCTGTATGTAGATACCATAGACACCCGTTTCGCCGGCCCCGTTCAAATACTTTGCTATTCCCGCCATTCAGCCTCGGGCAACATGGAGCGCAAGCAAATCGACGAGCATACAAGAAAGCAATAGGTATACACTCTATGTATATATACGTAAGGTAGGGCACCTAAATACGTATCTAGGTAGGTACACCCACCTCCCTTATCACTGGCCGTCCATGCAAAAGCAAATACACCTTAGAAATGTAATCAGTATGTAACGTATGAGCATCCGAGTACACTGATCCACGTATGTACTTTAGTTGTTATTTATCTTCTCGTGAATGCTTACCTATGTGTATATCTGTATATGATATATATCGTCAGACCCGTAGAAGAGCCATACTCCCGTGTGGATGCTGGATGGGTATAACCGGATCGGTACCGTAAATTTGCGAGAGATGTCGTCACCCTTATGAAATACGCTTTGACGCGGCTATCGTTGATTGACCTGTCACTTGCAGGTACCATTCGGATTCGCATATATGCCATCCTGAGCTGTCCTGGCCAAAATCTACGTATACCTATATCATTGCCCTGCAGCCAGGCTTCGGTCCTGCCCCCACGTGTGTTCCTTCGATCGACCAAGTGAATTGTCAGTCATCCGTTTAACCCTTCATTGCTCTATATGTAGATGGGGATCTACCTGAGTTTTAGGACAAATGCGAATTATTTATTAACGAATGTTATATATATTTATTTTGGTAATTCTGTCTATAATGTACCTACCGTTGGTACTTGTCGTATATCATATGTTGCCTACTGGAATTTGTTATGCTCCTGTGTAAATTTTGGTTTTATGATATATTTCAGCATAATGACACGTGGCGCTACATGTTATATAACCGATATATACAAACTATGGGTTCATCGTAGACTTGGATAATGGACACGCTTGGTTTCTTTCGTACGTTGGTTTTTTTTATGGTTATATGGTAAAATCGTTTGTAGGAGCTGCTTTTCGCGAAATTATGTTTCCCGGTCGTTGCGACTTTTTAGCGAAATTAAATTATGTCCTTTAAACTAGACGTGCATCCGTACGTGTGTCACTCGCGAATATTATATGCAAATATACATATAGCATGTCTGTATGCACGATGAGTATATTCCGTTGTAAAAAAGGTATAGTTAGACAACATTTGGTTCAGGTGAAAAATGGATAAGGTATTGTTTTTGTCACATAATTTCGCCCATTTCCTATAATTACGCAAGGGACCTGCATTATCTGCGGGTAATTGAAGATGCTAATCGCTGCACCTGTGGAAGCTGTGGGAGCCCAACCGATGTATGGATCGCACGAGGATACATAACGGGTGTAAAATGACTTTGGGACTTTCCTACGTAAACTATTGGACCCTACCGGAAGTTACGAGTCCGCGCGAACATCGTGCAATAACTGCAGTTGGAGTTTCCAGGGAAATTGCGATTATGTGTGAATGCGTAATTAGTTTAAACCCGAGGCACACAGTAATTAAGGTAAATTTAAGGCCTTTATCAGGGCCGCGACGGCAACGTTGTCGTTGGCGATTCGCGTTGTTGCCGAGAGCTTCCTGGTAGTACCAATTCGGCTTGGTTTATCCGTCTACTAACTCGCGAAATTACAGCCAGTATTTCCCGGTAAGCTCTTGGAGGAACCAGGAAAAAAAAATCTTAACGGACCGGTTTTCCTTCCGCGGCCATTTTGAAATTTTCTTCCCGGTCGATGGACATGTGGAATTGCGTGTTTACGACGAAGCGAGTGACGTGCGTGCAGCCTTACGTTAAATAACGACGTATTTTATCAATTTATTAATACGTTGACTATAGCTATGAATTTATTTTCCTTTGTCGCGCCCCCTTTCTTTTTCTATTTTTTTCATACGAAACAATAAAACGCGACATACTTACCCGAGCCGGCAATGACGTCATCCTGAAAGCAACGAAAGCCCGCGCATATAGACATTCGAGTGCAGGCCCGAAATGCAGGTAAAATTAGCTGATGCATTAAAACGCGCCTTGTCCCACTTTAATGTCAAAGGATAAAAAAGACCTTCAAAGTGAAACCCCTGTACCTCCCAAAGGTGTCACTGTGATAAAACGAGAGCTTTTTCTCGTTCACTTCTCCACGTATTCCATCCCGATAAAGGAAGACCGCTCGGCGGTTCCGGGTCGACGTGCTCGTGCACCGGGTGTCATAGCCAGGAAATGTCCACTTCTTGCGCTCGCAGTCCCGCTGAATTAGCGTCAGCTCGCGTGTCCGATTTACGCTTTACCTAGAGGATGTCCTCATAGAAGTCATAAGTGACGTCACTATCTCCACGTATACCTACACGTTAAAGTCCATCCGCAGTATCTGGAAATTCCACAAAAAATGTTACAGGCATCCACTGGTTATCCCACTCGGGAACAAAGAATGTCTTCGTCCTCGATCGTGCAGCTGACTGGATCTCGACAGGTCCAGTTCAGTGCGAAATACATTCCTTCGGTACGGATACGGACCAGACGCCGTACACCTTGACTCGTAGTGTATAGATATATTGATTACTTTACTACGTACACTTAAGTGTATACATATATAACTGGTGTCTCAGTTCCACTTAGATTATGTGGCGGTTGGTGGTACAGTCTAAACAAACTATTAATTGGCTTCAGGTGTCAGGAATGCCCCGTGGTGAAGCCGACATTCCTTTGCGGCGCCGACAACCGAACGTACAGCTCACCCTGCCGTTTGGAGTACCACAATTGCATTCATCACACCTCAGTACACATCGCCTGCAAAGGATTCTGCCCATGCAAAGGTGAGAGTTATCGAGCTATTCAGTTTAATGGATCGAGCCAGTGGATGGGAATAGCCGGCTAGTATGGAACATAGTAGCAACCTAGTGTGTGCATATATATATATATAGTAGAGGGACGTAAAAAAAAAGTGTATTGCTTCGCTGAAGGAAGATCAATACCGAGTCCTGATTTTTACACCGTGAACTTCCCTCGGAGCTATACGTTACGTATGGCAGGAGCCGGTCGAGGAGGGGTGGCGGAGGGGGAGGATAAAAGGGGGGGGACAATGGGTGACCGAGTGTTTTTCTTACGTTACTCTCGGAAAATCCGGCCAAGTTTCGAATGGGCCGATAAAGTTTTCTCGATAACGCCGATAGGAACCGATCACGGTGATTGGCGCATTGTCTGATAAGAGACAACCCGTGGGATTGGATGCACTCGATATACATGTAGAGTCTTGGAAGATTTATACATCTCGGATGGTAAATTTGAAATCGTTAGATTGTTACTGGCAAGACTCGAAGTTTCTACCTGTCCGTGTTGCGGACGCCGATTGTCCATGGTGGACAGTTGGAAACTTTATAATTTCAAGAGAATTCCAAAGGGCTTTTAAAGTTTCGATCGGACATTCTCAATCAGGCTGGAATTTAATTGCGTTTACCCGTCCTGCCGGAGTGGATTGTAAAGTTTGTCTATCCGTATGACTCGGAGTTACCGGAGGTAACTAGGAATTCTCGTTGGAGTATGGTCAATATTTTCTTTAGGTTAGCTTTTTCCAGATCTCGTTAACACACGTGGGTTATTTTTATCTTAATTATATATTTACTTTTGCACTGCACTGTACCAGAGTATCTTCCGATTGATTTTTTAGGTCGGGCTGAAATTTTATCCCAAGAAATTGCTCTATTCGGTTACTGCGTTTGCCACGTAGGCTGCACGCGGACATACAGGCCTATCCGCGGGCAGACTCTTCATTTGGCTGAACGCTGCAAACTTTTCAGGCAGAAATTGAAAGGCAAACAGCCGCAATATTTACATGATAACTGATGAGCAGGGCAAATAATTCGAACGGGTTACGATAACACACGTGCGCCCGTACACGTGTAATTGCATTTCCCGTACGAGTACTTTATGTGTACACGACTCGCGTATAACTATACATATATAAAGAATCGAACCATGGTTTGCCGAACGTGTTGGAAACATATGTATTCGTCAAAGACCGCGAGGCCGTGCCCAATAAATTTCTATGACCATCGAACGTTAATCAATAGGTTGGTATAACGCATATCGATATGTAACTGGCGAAATCTGCGGGATTTTCTATGACGAGGTACTTGTCCATAAAGAATGGACAGAATAGGTATGGACATAGATCGATACGAAATTACAGGTTAGATTAAAAAAAAAAGTAACTAGCCATCCGCTAAAGTGCATATCTCGTCGCGGTGTGGTAGCTGCTTTATTGTTATCGCAATGAATCCCCTTGATTTTTTACCCAACGAAAAAATTTTTTCAAAGCGCAGCATATCGAATTGTGTATGTGCCAAACGAGCAGTATCGCATCCAGACCAGCTTCTGCCATTTTCCACGTACCCTCGCTCTGCTGCGAGGCTAGTGTACGTAGATGTGCTTTTGAAAAAAAAAATTACCTCGACCCCGTTAGTTTTTTAGCTTTTTAAAAAAAGAGGTAAATCGATGACAATCGTATCATCCGTAGCCAGTGTAACTATGGGATGTCAAATTTACGGCCATTTTTGTAATCGAGTGATTGCACGCCGACAATTTTAATAGTCACGAATGGCTAATGAAATCCACAGCGCCGTTGAGCATTTAGACTGTTGGCCATTGAACAAACAGCGGTAATTGCGTTTTATCAATCGGAATTGACGCCACTGTTGCCCGCGGTGTAAGTGCGCATGTTAATCGGGCACGTGGGACTTTATAAAGATCATTTATGGTCCCTTCCCTTCACCCTCTCGCTGCGTCCGATAACGACTGTACGAGAAGTTCGAGATTTTAATCCAAAAATCCATACCACTTGTTTCGGGTCGGATCGAGTATAAATATTTCGTTATCGATTTATCGTTGAATTTATGATTATAAAGAGAAAAGAATTTAATATGATTTTCTTTCTGTCCACCCGCAGCAGGATCTGACGTCAGCGTTCTCATGAAGAAGCTACAGCTGCATCGTCAGAAGTCCCTGATGGGAAGGTCCAGTCGTAATCGCGATATCACCCTGACTCCGCGCGACTTCAATTACGACAATCATCATTATCAGTACTTGAAGTACACGAAGCGCGCCAAGGTGAGTCACGGATGTCGCAGCTGATTTTTAAAGCACGAGCGTCGTTCGTATAAGAGGATTTCACAGTAAAAGGTATTCTCGATTTTACCAAAGTCCTACGAGGAATCGAGAAATTCTTTTCTGAACAATTACGACAATCATCATTATCAGTACTTGAAGTACACGAAGCGCGCCAAGGTGAGTCACGGATGTCGCAGCTGATTTTTAAAGCACGAGCGTCGTTCGTATAAGAGGATTTCACAGTAAAAGGTATTCTCGATTTTACCAAAGTCCTACGAGGAATCGAGAAATTCTTTTCTGAACAATTACGACAATCATCATTATCAGTACTTGAAGTACACGAAGCGCGCCAAGGTGAGTCACGGATGTCGCAGCTGATTTTTAAAGCACGAGCGTCGTTCGTATAAGAGGATTTCACAGTAAAAGGTATTCTCGATTTTACCAAAGTCCTACGAGGAATCGAGAAATTCTTTTCTGAACAATTACGACAATCATCATTATCAGTACTTGAAGTACACGAAGCGCGCCAAGGTGAGTCACGGATGTCGCAGCTGATTTTTAAAGCACGAGCGTCGTTCGTATAAGAGGATTTCACAGTAAAAGGTATTCTCGATTTTACCAAAGTCCTACGAGGAATCGAGAAATTCTTTTCTGAACAATTACGACAATCATCATTATCAGTACTTGAAGTACACGAAGCGCGCCAAGGTGAGTCACGGATGTCGCAGCTGATTTTTAAAGCACGAGCGTCGTTCGTATAAGAGGATTTCACAGTAAAAGGTATTCTCGATTTTACCAAAGTCCTACGAGGAATCGAGAAATTCTTTTCTGAACAATTACGACAATCATCATTATCAGTACTTGAAGTACACGAAGCGCGCCAAGGTGAGTCACGGATGTCGCAGCTGATTTTTAAAGCACGAGCGTCGTTCGTATAAGAGGATTTCACAGTAAAAGGTATTCTCGATTTTACCAAAGTCCTACGAGGAGTCGAGAAATTCTTTTCTGATCCCCATAGTCCCGGGAGCACGTACGTGTAGTATGTATGTGTCACTGGTCGAGGGGTGGTCGTCTCTTTTTTTTTTCGCCATCTCCACGAGAAAGAACGGAGTGTCCACATATCATATTTACGAGGAGAGAAACCCCGCCCGCCCTCCTCCGGGAAAACGCTTGCACAAATCATGCCGGTTTGACCGATTTCTTTTCTACACCCTCTTAAATGTAACACGACCATATATCTCTCCCACGCTACTAACAATCTGACCATCAGATTCCGATAAAAAGATTCCCATATATCCCCATTATATAAGTATACATATATTTATTTATTAGAAATATAGTTTATTAGAAACGTGAAAAGGCAATTTCGAGAAATTTACTTGAAAAATTGTTTCATCCCCCCTCCCACCCTTTTAACTGGCAATGGGAGAACCCATAGAAATACACTTGCTGGGTTATACGAGTGGAGAAGCTCGAAACTGTTTTTATTGCCATAATATACATGGGAAGTCCGTAAGGCGGAAAGTAGAATAAGGTGGAGCGCAGTAGAAGCAAGAAGTTGTAGGTTATGTCTCTAGGTATTTCAAGAAAAACTATCCCGTCACTGACTACCCCGTGACGTTTGTTAAATCGTCCCTATATATGTATATATTTAATTTTAAATGAAAAACGTAACCAAGTGGTTCGCTCGTCCGTCTGAGTCGCTCGCGATAAAACGACAAGTAAATTAATGCTCTTATTACAATTGAAATTCTCTCGTAAAACGTGTATATAATATATTGCTGCACCGGATACTGCAGTAAAATACAAGTATGAGTCTAGCGTCGGATATACCAAAGGCCAGAAGAGTCGACGGTTACCGTTGTGCCGAGAGCGCATCAAGCTTAACCCAGGAGAAGCCTTAAAGCAGAAGACAGCTGGGCTAATCGGGAGAGATTGCAGAACTCGGCGACGGTACCGGATGGGGGGGGAGGTCGGGGGAACCGAGGAAGGAAGGATGCCGCGACTTCGCTAAATCCTACGTCTTGTCGTCAACTTAATTAAATCAACGTATAACTTAGCAGCCACCATGCACTCGGAAGGGAGATATACGTGGATAACTACCGGCGCCTGCATTTCTCAGGTTCTCTGGACACGCTGCAACTGGCTTTGACGTACGGAAAAGAAATCGAGTAAAGATCCAAGACTTTCGTCTTGGAAAGGAAGGAAGAAGGAAACGGTCTCTGGGATATTTAACCTGTATTATACCAGTATGCCTAGAATATTATAAATATACAAATCATTCGGGAAAGTCCCTCGAAGAAAAATCCCAGAAAAATTCGGTGAGAAAATCTTGATTTTCACGAATTTCAGTAGCTTCGCCACTTTTGATGCTACTGAAAGAGATCGTCTTACCCTCCAATTATACGCGTATTTACTGTACCTCTCAGAGTCGGTTTATCTTTCTTTTCCGTCGCTGTTTTTTCTTTTTTTTTTTCGTCTCCTGTTTTCCTAGCCGAGATCGTTGAACGACCATTCAAAGTTTTGACGGATAAGTAATTTAAGTTTTCGACGATGCCGCGTCTAGTTTTCCCATTTCCATGAAATCCATCTACGATTATATATACGTATATGGAGAGAGATAAACAGATAAGTATATAGAGAAAGAGAGAGAGAGAGGTGCTTAGGGCTGCTCCGTATCTTAGCCATTGCCGTAGAAAACGTTTTCACGAGACTTCCGGTAACGTTATACCGCCACTTGACGATAATCAAATTCGTATAATACTTTATCGACGGCACTATGAATCTATGTATGTAGGTTATATCTATAGGTATATTAGTCAATGGGAAAGTAGAAGAGTCCAAAAGAGTATCGGAATCGTCTGTCATACATTTTTATATGGTTGCCGAACATTTCGTTTAATTTACTTTCGATATTCACCGAACGTTCTCGCACGACTTCCTTTCTGCTTGCTTCCTGGCTTCCATTTTTTCTCTTTCCCCTATATATACCAATGGCTTCCTAGTTCGATTTCCTGTCGGCTTTGCCGGCACTTCTCTGCCATGTTTTTATATCTTGGCTTCTTCCTTGTTTTTTTTTTTTATTCCGTGCCTCGTACACGCAGCGCCCATTCGTCCTCATTTTCCCCGCGTTTACGCTCCTGCCGTCATGTTAAAACGGGGACTCCGCTATCTCGCAAAGACAGGCTCGGGATTATAAGAATGAATACAGCGAGTGCCCAGTGAAATTAGAGCGAAATAAAGGTAAATAAGAGTAGACTGTAAAGGACGGTGCCGTTATTACCTGGAATTTATTGGACACGATGCAAATGGGAGGAACGAGAAAAGGTGGAGCATAGGAAAGAAAAAAAAAAAAAAGAAAAAAAAGCAAAGGAAGGAATTACGCTTAAAATGAAGAGAAAGAAAGGAGGAGGAAGTCTTACGGTCGGTGGATGCGCCGGGAAATTGCAAAGGAAAATCTTCGCTCTTAAGGCGGATTGAATTGAAGATTGGCGGGAATTACCCGTGGAAAAAAAAAAGTTCCGCTGGCTGCGTCTCGATAAAGCTCCAGTAGTCGCCGTTTCCTATTTTCGGCATTCCTTTCCTTTTTTACCTTCAAACTTGATCTATACTTACCTCTCACTTCTGCGGAGTAGAGGGTTCAATCTCAGTCTCCTTTTTCTTGTCTCTTGATCTTTTTCTCCCATCCTAATCCCTTTTCTACTCCCTCTTGATTTATCTCCACCTTCTCAAATGCACGAACTCTCATCCGACGACTCGTCACTTGCACTTTATAATACCAACTTCCATTCAAGCCCCATTGTCGTAACGATAAATTTTCTATTTTTTTTTTCCACAAAATTACAAACTGCAATTACGAATTCCCATAACGTCAGTGGTCAAAACGATGGCCAGTCGTCTTTCGTTCTTAACTCTTTCCTAAATTCCTTCAGTTTCATTACAGGAGGTCTTCGTACCTGCCAAACAAAACCGAAGAGACCTAGAAACTCTGAACGACCAAAAAAAAAGAAAAAGAAACTCGGTAGTGGAAAAGTAGAGAATCACGTAAAAAGATATGTTAGAAAATCTTTTTTCCACATTTGCACAACAAAACCCTCAGAACCCAATGTTCCACCATGGACCAAGTTGTCGGTCCTGAGAGCAAATTCATCGAGCAAGACACTAGGCAGAGAATTATCGGTAATCGATCTCACGCGCCAGACACGCACCTATCCAGGCACATTTACTTTCAGGTAGTTCACGCACGCGCGATCGGCCATCTCCTCGCATGCTCCAGAATCTCAGAAGCTTATCTGACAATAACAAGTTCGCCGATAACACGTACAGAGCAATTCTATTTATAGTTGACTGGACGAGTCTGCCGGTCGACCGACTGAGGGTGTTACTACAGGCACGACACGGGTGAAAATTCTTATACACGTATCGAAAGGGATTCATACCTGTTATCGAATATCGAATAGTAGATGAATATCTATAGATTCTTTCATTTTTCATCCCCCAACTCGCAGCGCGCAACGCACTGGATTTATATTTTCCAATGTCTGGTATTTTATTTAACAAGTTCCACAGCATCAACCTTTCTCCGTGGTACTGATACGTTACGTATGTATATAGTGTCTCTACCTCTGAAACCCTCTCGCCACTTTTCCCATCTATTCAGACATCCCTTGATTTCCTAGAGGCTATACGGAAACTCCGTGGAAGCTACCACTTTGCCCGGACAACAAAATCGAAGCATCTTCGCTTCCTTGATCTATTTTTATAACGTTCACGGTATATATCCCGTCCTGAAATTCCTTACCTCGCGAGGGATAAAAGATGCAATTTTTCGAATGAAAACTCCTGCACATCCTGAAGATAGATCTCTCTCTCGAGCACCTACTCGTCTCCTCTTATCTATGCCTTGGCTACATAAAATCCAGCGCCCGACGCAAATAAACAGAAAATTCCGCCGCCCCCATTACCTCTAATCGAAATTTTCATAAAGTATCAGATAACAACTCAACGGAGTGGAAAAAGTAAATAAAATCTTCCTTGTCAAGTACCAACAGCGACCGCCCCCTCCGCCACCCTCCTGGAAGAAGATAACTCGCAGCCCGTCGACTAGAAACAGTCAATAAACGATATTCTTCAAAACTTTACACTCGAGCAACTACCGGGATAACTTTTGCCGAAGCCTGTACCAGCCTCCAGCTCCAATATGACTTCCGCCGGAAATCCCGAAGAATTTTTGTTTTTACGTTCGCGAAAACAACCTCCCGTCTCTTCCACGTTATGTACGGTACACGCAGGTAATACCCGTGTCTAGCGGTATCAAGATAATATTCATTTTGACTCTCGCATAGTTCATTTCTCTTGGAACCGTCTACACACCCCATACAAGCTACCCGGTATTACCTACCACGTCGCGTATCAGCCCTCTCTAAGATTATACGTCATTTTAGTATTATCTCCAGTCTAGCATCGCCGGCACGTAGTACATCGGATCGATGCCAGGGCGTCTCGCTTTCCGGAATCTCGATAGGGTAAAGTCCAACGTAAGCGACGGGTAGCAGCTACCCTCTCTTTACCCTGGTCCGTGTCTCGCTCTTTGGAAGTACTGCGTCGAGTGCGATGCGGGCACCGGAGTATCCGATACTGACGGAATGAAAATTTGTTAAAAATATTTGAAAAGAAAAAAAAAGGAAAATTTACCGCGACGACTTGCCAGGGATTAGGTGGGATGATGTAAGAACGGAATGAAGAAGGAAATGACGGATCGAGGTAACAGGAGGACGCCGCAGCTATTATACACGTGTATATAGGTATATAGTGTACGTACGTAATAGTGGGGGGAAGGAGTGAACGCTTGATGGTATATAAATACATAAGGTTGATATAGATAGCTAAAAGTATATATATATATATATATATACGTATGTACCAGCTACGGAGAACTCAAGGGTTTAGGTGTCATATAACCTGCTAATTGGATCCTTCGAAACGCGGCTTAGGATTTGACGCCTGTAACCTACGTATTTCTAAGTCTGGATGCCTTGGAGATGTATATATATCTACCGGCAGCATCCCAAGTACCGAGAATTAATTAACCCGCGGGACGACACCTTATTCATTGCAGTGCGAAATACAGGATCGCCAATCTTTCTGTTATTGACAAAGCTAAATTCCAAGAAGTTCGATGCTTCTACTTTGAATTAGTTCTATGGCGCAGCCCGTTACCACCGTCTGTGCGGCAATTAGATTCAAGACGTCCGGTCTCTTCTGTACGGACTCGTGGCCAAGTTCGCCATTCATTTCGCAAAGCTGTTCGACTTTTCTTTCATCCGAAGGAGATAATGACATTGAGAATTCTTCTTCTCCTTTTTTCTCCCGGGCAAATACTTTTTTGGCCGAATAAAGGAAGGCTGAAAAAGAAGGAAAGATTAAAGCTGAGACAGAGGATGTACTTCGTGTGTCTGCTATGCTCGTCTTAAAGATTTATAATAGAGCGTACTTATCAATATACATGGTCATTCACGACAAATGCACCACCCGAAGCTAGCCTGTACATTCAATTTCTGTGGTAGAAGCCACCTTCAGCTGGTACGTTTATTGTAATTAACCATATATATATGTATAGTTATTAACGTACCTAGCGAGACAAAGCGGTTATGGAATTATAGACGATTATGCTTCTTTATGTTAAACGTCCACTATGGTACAATTTGCGGAAATCATTGAGGCAATTTAGCGGCTAGCCAATCAGCGAGGCTATTGGGTAAGCACGCATCGCACATATGCTAACGGGCCGATATTAAATTCTATCTCTTCAACCGCTCTCTGTGGTTCAATATGTTACCGATATATGCACACGTGCGCGTCTATACACGAGCCCTCGACCGCTTGTAAATCACGCTAAAGGATGGCTTTCATTTTTATTATTAAATACCGTATCAAAGCTGTCACCCGTATCGATCATAACCCCTCGACATTATTTCCTTCAGGCACTGGCTTCCGGTAACGGCTACGATGACAACAAGCATCTGATGAACAACGAAGTTTCGGAGAAGACGTCGTCTACAGGTCGTTCCACTTACAATTCTCAATCGACGACGAGGAATGCCGAGTGTCCCCCGTCATCGAAACCCGCAATGGCGAATCGACTTTTGGATTGGTTCTCGGTCGTAATGGCGGACGCGAAACATCGACGTCAACATTCCAAGTCAAAAGGTAGCAGCGAATAATTGAGAAAATTAAATACCTGAGCAGCGGTCTATAGACTTTCAAGCATTTACGGCCATTTTGCATTCACAACAATAATACATGGTTTGGATGGCTCTGTGAGATGGTTTAATGACAGTACTACGGTAGTCGGTAACCTTTAGATGGTTATTGAGACTTATAAATTTAATATATTTTCTATCGACCTAACTCTTTGTCTTTTGCATTAAGGTCACTTCCCTGCCGGATGTCAAAGTGAGGTTAAGTGGATGTTTGGACATCTCGACACCGATGCCGATGGTCGTATCTCACTTTCTGAACTCTACGGACTGGAACACGATCAGAACGAACCATGCCTCAAGCCATTCCTAGACGCCTGCGATACCGACGGGTACATTTACTTGTTTACTTGTTTGTCCTGGTGGTTCACTTTCTCGACCAACGTTCATGGGATCAGATCCGTTACCTTAGACCATACGTACGTTAAACAATCAGATCGCATGACGCTTGTGAAATCTTCCTCAGTGACATCTTTGTGAGCGGACCAGAGTGGTGCGGATGCTTCTCCAAAGCTGAAAGACCATGCGCCGCTGTCCGTAGACGGTCTTCGCCGGAAGTAGCTCCAGCCTGCGATTCTCATGGTTATTATCGAAGTACCCAGTGCCATCGAGGTCTTGGTCTATGCTGGTGCGCCGATCCTCACGGTGTTGAGTTCGCCGGTACCAGAACTCGTGGTACCAAACCCGATTGCGGTGAGTAAAATTCAATGCGACATGTGTTTAATAATTCTAAAGAGATTTCATTCTTGAATTTCTTTTCTAGACGCAATAGTCAAGAAGATAACTAGCGGTGGCCTCAAGACGAACAGCGTGGATCTGGATGACGACGATGAGGACGGGGGTACGGATTCGGCGCAGGATCTTGAAGGATCAGCTGATCAACCTCTGGACTTCTAGGTCTCTTAAAAAGAAACACCTCGCTAAGCAAGTACAGCTATGGACAGCATCCTTTTCGAGAGATACTGTAAAAGGAGTGTTTCATCGTCTGCTGGCCTCGTGCGTGGTCGTTGTGATTGGAGGTGTCTCACAAGATCTAACTAAAGTTTCCTTGACGATGGTATCGCTATACGTTGGATCCTATATAGGTACACAGTCACTGAGTACCGTGAAGAAGATAGGGGAGTGATAAACTTGTTTATCCTTTTTTTTTCCCCCCCAATAATTAAGAAGAATGAGAATGTCCATTGTTGCGCCGGTAAAGAAAGTTAATACTGTGGAAGCTCTTCAGCTTGTTTCCTGTCGATGTAAAATCCTGCTCATTAATCGGATAATCTATAAGGCGATCGATCGGCTTGTCCAGAACTTGACTGTAATACGTAGTAACTAAAGAGATGTCCATGAAAAAGTTACTCCATAAAATAGAAGAGTGTCTGATACCGAGAGAGGCGACGCGTCCTACTCTCTACGTATATATATATATAACCATTTTAAACTGAGGTACCTCCAAGCGCAACTCACTTATAAATAATATAATTACAAACTAGTTATGCATATAAAGAGGAGAAAAAAGGACGAAGAGGATGGAATAGTTAACGTAGAGAGAACACTCACTACTGCATCGGCAAAGTATGGCGAACACTCCACGACACATACAAATTAATACCTAGTATAAAGAATACTCTATATAATTTCTAACCATTTAGACTTACTGATATATCTAAGCGTAATACTGTCTATGACTTATGATAATACCAGCCGTATACATTGAGGATGGCTGCGAGAGAAAATTGGGATGTCGCAAGGTTGAGGAACGATAAGAGTCTACGAGGGATGAAGACCTTCTAAGATAGCCTAAGGGGGGGAATTTCGCAATTTATGTGTAGTTACGTTTAGATAGTTTATTGTTACGTGTTACGTTAGTTTTAATAGACCGTACTTAATCGACGGTTCGTTGTCAATATGAAAAAAATTGAAACACCAGGTACATTCTCATTATTGATATTATTTATTGGATCGTGAAGCAGGGTCTCGCGCTTAATAGTATCTCATTTCTCTCGCAGCCATCTTAATCCTATGAAATTAGTGTAAGATACACCGCATAAAGATGAATGACCTACTTCGTGTTCACCGGTACCGATGCCGCAGTCAAATCTCAATGCCACTGCCCCCCCCCCCCCCCCCCC